TGGTCCTAATAATCCTTTATTTCTATTTAATAATAAAAAATATATTATTAATAAAAATAAAGTTAAATTTTATTTTATCTTTATTTTATATTATAATATTTTATTTTTTTATTATTTTTTTAAATGGTAATAATTGATTCGCTTGTAAAACACTAATACTTTAAGCTTGAGGCCAAGATTATAATTATTTAATTTAATTCTTATAAAAAATATATGATTTAATTTTAAACTAATTTAATAAAAATATGTAATTTTATTTTTTTTATTTAATAAATTGTCGTAAATTTTTTGTATGTTACTCGCTAATATTTTTTAAATAAAAAATCATTTTTAGTTGCAAAGCCGCAATCAGAAATTTAAGAAATAATCATTTTAATAAATTTAACATATTTTAATTCATTTATACAATGTCAAGAAAAAAAAGAAATTTGTTAATATCAAACATTTTTGAAAATGTTATGTTAAGTTTAATTATCTAGTATAAATAAAAAATTAAAAGAAGATAAACATTCCCTAATAGTCATAATAAAAAACAAGTAATATTAATAGTATTAGCAGCTGTGGTGCAGTGGTAGTGCACTTGCCTCAGAAACGTAAGATCCGTGGTTCAAACCCCACCTCTGGCCAAGTTTTGCGACATCGGTTGGAAAGGAGGTGTGAACTTTCGATTAAATGCATTTCCGCGGTGCTCTGTGATAAGACCGTAAAGACTTCTTGGGGCACCTAAATCAACTTTAAAAAATATATATATAATAATATTGTTATTATTAATAATATATTAGTAATATATATATATATATATATATATATATATATATATATATATATATATATATATATATATATATATATATATATATATATATATATATATATATACATATTATAATAATATATAGTTGTATATACAAATACAACCCTCGGAATTAGGTCAGCATTCCGCAATGCGGTCCTAATTGCCAACCTAACTGCCAACTGATAGTGTTTGAGGCCGGCAAAAAATTGCTGACCTCGTTTCTATGTTTTATGGTCAGACTTTTGTATCAAATAATATTTGCCAGCCTGATATCTTGTGATAAATCAGAGCGATTTTTTTTTTTCAAACATCTTCGCTTCCAACAAGCTGCAAAACAAGGCTGCAAGCAACCACTAATTAGAGTGGGAGGTTACTGGAAAAGAAAAGATGAAGATTGTGAAGCAAGAAAACGATTGACAGACAACTTAAAAGATTGCAAATTATATGAATCAGGAAAGCAAGATGAAGGATGCGAATTCCAAAGAACTAATGTTCAAGGAAAAAAACTAGACGAATAAGAGTTTTTGGAGCACTTAGGAACAGTAACAGAAAAAGGATGCAAATTATATGAATCAGAAACAAAGGATGCAAATTATATGAATCAGAAAAATAAAATGAAAGAAGCGAGTTCCAAAGAACTGATGTTCGAAGAAAAAAAACTAGTGGAATAAGAGTTTTTGGAGCACATAGGATCAGTCACAGAAAAAGGATAAGACTTAATTGAATGATGAGTAACACTAGAATGAATTTTAGTAGATGGCACAACAGGGGATAGCTCTTTAGAGCATTGCCCATTATAGTATTTGTAGTAAAGAGAAAAAGAAGCGAAATTATGACGATGTGATAATGGTTAAAAGTTGGCTGCAAGAGCAGGTCCAACTATGTTTACAATGTGTTTTTGCACCTTGTCTAAAAGAGAAATGGCATCATTAGAAGATTCTCCCCAGATATGGCAACAGTATTCCATACAAGGCCAGATTTGAGATTTATAGAGATAGAGAAAAGAATCCCTGAGGTTACAGAATAAGAAGAAGAGTGCTGTCTATCAAAGACAACTTTTATACTACGATTGGAAAGGAAGGATTCAATAATCTTAAAGATGTTTCCAGATACACCATAAGTAGAAAGCTTATGGAGAAGACCAGCATGCTAAACTTTATCAAATGCTTTAGAAATGTCAAGAGCGATGGCCATAACCTCTCCACCTTTATCTAATGCACTAATAAAACCTTTACAAGAAGATCAAAATTCAATATTAGATTCAAGATGAGAGATTTAGTGTTTGTTAATTCAAGATTCAAAAACCTTGGTTATGATACGAAGAAGACTAATGATACGGTAGTTAGACAAATCTGATCGCTCTTCAGAATTTTTAAAAATAGGGATAACAGATGCTGCTTTCCATCAGGCTAGAAAACAAGACTCTGATAAGCACTTGTTGAATAGTTTTGAAAGTATAGGCAACAGCTCTAGAGAATACTTCTGCAAGACTATAACAGGTATGTTGTCTGGGCCACAAGCTGTAGAAGAATCTATGATCAAATTCTGAACCATACAAAAGAGGTGGAATTACAGACTTGCCCTTATTATTGATACTATTAAAGATTCTCCAGAAGTCGTGAGAGCCTAATTTTTGTGATAAAATACAAGATTTTATGATCTGAGAATAGCGGGCTTTGGCATTGGACAAAACCTTTTTACAATGGTTCCTAGCATTAATAAACAGACATCTGTTTTCTGGAGAATTGTTTTGTTGATAGATATGGAAGTAATGGTTTTGATTGGCAACTGCAGCAGCACAATGTAAGGAAAACCATGGAGAAGAGTGAGACTTGACCTGGAATCATAGAGAGAGAATTAAGGAATCCATGCCAGCCTGAATCCACGAAGTTATGTAAGAAGCACATTTGTCAACAGGAAAACGAAAGATTTCTACCCAAGGGCCATCTCAAAGAAAATCACGGAAAGAGTCCCAGTCAGCTTTAAGGTAGTTATAAGATGTACAATGATAGGGGGATTCTGATAATAAAGAAGAATGAGATAATAGTTTTAGAGAAGGTAAATGATTCGGGTTGTCTGAGAAGCTAGTTGGAAATTTGACTATTTAAGTTAGGAGTTGAGAAAGGCAAAAGTTGTGGGCTTTAATGCTTGCAGAGTCACTGACACTAGAGCCAAACCATTTAGTGTGATGAACATTAAAGTCACCGACAACAACAATATTGGCTGATTTTCAATATGATCAGAAATAACATGAAGAATAGTGCAGTCTTGAGATGAAGGGGAGCGATGTAGAACAAAGAGAATGGCATTAGAGTGAAGTGGTACTAAATGAAAACACATAAAAGAGTAGTCTGTGGATTCAAACCTAGTTTCCCGATAAATGGGTGAACTCTTACGAATGTAAATTGCCAGGCCAAGCATGTGACCATTGGAGTCTTTACAATTTAAAGGAAGATAACCATCAACACTAAGATCGCAAGATGAGACAGTTGAACTCAAATTAGTCTCACAAAGAGCAAGTAGGTCTCGTGAACATTGTAAGAGATAAGACTCAACAGAAGAAAAGTTACTTCGAAGACCACGAATATTAGTGAATGATGGGTTTAGAAAACTTGTTGTTGGCAATAGTTTTTTTTATTTTATATTTTTTGTTACTTTATTCATTTTTAAATTTGTTAAAGAACTTGACTCAATGCATAGATAGTACTCAGATAGTGTTAGTGAAGGATTCCTGATTGATCGATCATCAGAAGAAACATTGATGATGTATGAAAAACTAGTTAATCTGCACCTCAGATTGTATACTTTGTTAAACTGGAAAAGTTTTGCAAAGAAAAAAATGGAGATTAAAAAAAAAAAATAAAGTTAGAGATTTCGCCACACAAAAAGCACTGATTAAAAAACCACAAATCTGATCACAAAAGCGTATGTATTACTTATTCATACGTAACCTAGACTGCCTGGTTTTTAAATTTATTGTATCGGTGTCACATAGATATTGGTGTCATTAGACTTTGGGTTGAAAAAACAGGACCATTTTGTGAACCAATACGAAATGCAAGAGACAGGGTTATAATTACAATAAAACAAAAGACTTAACTGTAATTAGATGCTGCAATGCTAGTGTAATTGGAGGGACTTCTACAACAGGTTCGCAAGGCTGTAGATTTTTTTCTGAAAAATTAATGTCTAATATAAAAGATCTTTGCTCTCCTATATACATCTCCTATATATGTTACATTCTCGTTACTATTTCATTCTCAAATCAGTGTAATACTTTGTATAGTTTCTTGTCAACATAAAATTTAAATTGACAATTTTTAAGAGTTATAGTTCTACACTTAACATTATTAAAAATATCCCATGAGCACAAATTAACCACACTCTTCATGGAATCTTTCATCTCTCAGCTGAATTAATTATTCTTAATGATGGTTATGACCTTGGCAATTTAACTGAGGAAGTCCTTAAATATATTAAAATATATTTTATGTGCAATATCAAACCATTAGAACTCTTTTCGTATAATTTTATTATACTAATGTTATTTTGAGTCCAAATTTGATCGAATACTTGTTTTTAAGTTCTAAACTTCTGATCAGGATGACAGGATGGTCATTTTTAACAGCGAAAAGAATGCTTTGAATAAATACTAGAAAAAATAATTTTTTAAAAAAAGCCATTTTTCATAAAAGTTGAACAAATAAACAAAAAAGTTTTGTAGCATATTAAAACAAAACGCTTTTATTTTTTTGGCAAGCGCTTTTTTATGTGCTTGCCAAAGTTTTTGCGGTAGAGTGAGAAGATGCTTGTGCAGAAAACGATGACTTAATGGAGCAGACTGGAGTTAAAGGATCGTTAAAGCATTTTGTTTGGACTTGTGTAAAAACTTATGAAGTAGTAGCCATAAATGCAACAGATTTTTTTTTAGCATCAAATTGGTCTAAAACTTATCTTAGGCTTATCAACACAGACACTCAAGTAATCAAATAATAATAAAAGTAATCAAGATTGGGCAATAATACCTACTCAAACCAAAACAACTTCATCAAAAAATGAGGAAAAAGATAATAAATCAAAAAAAAAAAATTGTTGTTTTAGAAATGTATACATAGATTGCATTATCAACATAAATCACATTTTCAACAATCACATTTCTAATATAAATTTTACTAAAGCAATTTTTGTGCAATATATTTTTTAGTTCTGCTGATGGAATGGTTGGGTTGTGGCACTTAGACTCAGATAGAATGATTGCTCTTGATCATGTTGGTCAATCAAGAAAAAATTCTTCAACTGATATAACTTGCTTAGTTTGGCATGTAAGTTAATTTTTTTTTTAATATTTTTAATAAATGTTTGTTTGGTGTAGTTTGAGTTTTAATATAGTGAGTTGTGATTCTTTGCTCAGATAATACATTGCTCAGACATATTAAAGTTATCAGAGGTGAGAATTTTTAATGATAGGCTTTATTATTTTTAACATATTTTAAGTTTTGTTTTGATTAGCCAGAAGGTCATGTGCTTGCAACTGCCGCATCTGATTTTATAACACGAATTTGGGATGTAGAAGGTTTGTTTTAATTTGTTAGAATTACAAAATCTTTAGAAATATTTTTTATAAATTAAAAATAATATAAATTTTTTTATTTCAAGGCAATTTACTGACTGCATTAACTGGTCATAAAGATTTAATTTTATCTTTAAATTGGAACAAAAAAGGACAATTTTTATTAAGTGCTGGTTTAGACAAGGTAATTGTTTGTTTATATGCATGTGTGTGGTGTCTGTGTGTGTGTGTGTGTAATATATATATATATGTATACATATATATGTATATATATATATATATATATATATATATATATATATATATATATATATATATATATATATATATATATATGTATACATATATATATATATATATATATATATATATATATATATATATATATATATATATATATATATATACATATATATGTATACATATATATATATATATATATATATATATATATATATATATATATATATATATATATATATATATATATATATATATATATATATATATATATATATATGTATACATATATATATATATATATATATATATATATATATATATATATATACATATATATATATATATATATATATATATATATATATATATATATATATATATATATTAGGGATATGACTTTTTAAAAAAAAATTTCCCTGGCCCAAAAATGGATGAGTTTTTACGCATAAAATGCGAAAATATTAATACTTTCACAATGTTCAAAAAAAATGTCACGCCCCAAAGCACATTAAGATTTAAAAAGGTTTTAAAAAAATTAATGACCATAATCATTTCTATTTGCAAACATGTTCATTCATATGATTCTATAAAAAAACATAATTTATTCTAACAATTAATACATGGCATAGTGTTATATTCAATGCAGGAAAAAACATTTTATACAATTTAAATACATACAGTTATTGTTTATTAGACAAAATGAAACGAAGTGGAAGATTGTCTTTATTTCTGCACAATCTATAAAGCTCCTCCATTACTTTAATTGCTCTTTCAGCACATTGATTACTTCTGGGAATGTTGATTGCTGATGGTTCTGGATTCCAATGACTTATAAATGTAGCAAGAGGTTTCTTTTTGTTTAATAAAACTTCATGAAGGTCTGAATAAGTGTTTTCTTTATAGGTTTGGTCGTCAAACCAAAAGTCTGCCTACTTGTAAGAAATAAAGGTACATACAGATTCAAGTTTGTTTCTTGTTTTTGGCATAAGAATGTAGGCTAACAACGCTAAAATAGCTCTTGAACTCCACCGAGCATTACTGATATTAGGGATTTTTTGAAATCTTACATTAGGAAATATTTTATTTTAGTCATAGTATTGGTAGGTTCTCGTCAGATGAAACAGAAATTTCATGCCATCTTGCCATCCTCCTGTGTCTTTTATTTCTTCTGTACCATTATAAAAATTTGTCTTCAGTGTTTCATAATGTTCTAACAACTCATTAGTAAAAAAGTAATTAATGTTTGGTGAGTTCGGATTTTCTCCCAATTCTTCCATTTCTAGCCTAAGTATTCTATCCAAGATATGATGTTGACATGGTACAAATTGAGGTTTTTGTCATCCTTTTTTTTGAAAAATGTCCTGAAGTTTTACAACAACACCATTTTACTTTCCCGTATTGACATTTGTAGTATCTGTCACAATCATTTTAATTGAATTCCATAGTTTAAATTCATCTATAATATCAGCTATGGCATTAATAATAGTGATAGATTTTCCATCTATTAACTTCAGTGCGCCCAACTTTATTTCGCTTCTTTCATTTTTAAGAACGACAACCTGATACTCCCATTAGTCTATATGCTTTCCATCGAAGTGTAGACTCCAATTCTCATTCTTTAAATCTTGATTTAAAGTTTCTTTAAATTGTTTTGCTTCATTAAAAAGAGCCTTGTATATTCCAGACTGTGATGGCACTGGAACATGTATGCCTTCTGAGGACAGTATTTTACCTATTTTAGAAGCTTTCTTAGTTGATACCTTAGCACAAACCACTAACTTTGTTGCTATTTTACAACTATATTTTTTACGTCTTTTCTTCAAATTATTATATTCTTCATCTGTAATTTCATTATCTATCTCAAATTGTTCATCAGTTTCTTCAAATTCGGAACTAGAGTTGTCTCTTTCTATTTTACTACTTTCAGTAAATGAAGAAAAACTTTTAGATGCTGAAGGTTGGCTGGATTTTTGCACAATTGATGGATGAATAGTCTTCTTTCCTGCCAGCTTTGAAGTAGCATATCAAATTTCTCCTTTGCTTTGTAACTGAATTTCATAAAATCTTTTATCTTCAGATGATAACCAAATGCCATTTTGATTTGTTATATCAAAAATCTCTTTTTGCAGATGGTCGGCATTCCCTTTTTTTCTGAGACTTTCATATTTTTCTATAACATTATTAATCTTTCGCTTCACTGACTGCTCTGTCAGACATGGGAAATTTAATTGTTCTTTCCACAAACTTATAACTTCTTCTGAAATAAGATCTATCCTTTGCTTTTTGGCTTTCACATCAGTACTAGACATACTTAAACCTGCTAACAATATCACTTTTTAATGGCATTTTGGAATATTCTTGAAAAGATGTTTCTAACATTGGAAACTGTCTACTTTTATGCGAATCTTGAAATTTCACAAGATTTTTTTTATAAGTCTCTTTATTTTTTTCAACACTTGATTGGCAGTATTTGTATGCCATTTTAATTAAAAGCAGCACAAAAAAATCTGAAACTAATTAATAAACAATTAGGCACGGCAGTGAAAAACTAGAAATTATAAAGTGGTAATGCATACGTCTGGTATGTATTTAAAATTATATATATAATATATATTAACCGTCTATATATATTTTATTATATATAATATAATAATATAATATAATAAAATATATATAGAGGGTTATGAATTCTTTAACTTATGTTTTCTGGCCCATATGTAATATGTATAGTATATTATATTCCTATCTATATTGTATTAAAAAACATTTCAGCTGAGGGGCGTGACATTTTTTTTACACTTGAAGGAAAATAAACATTTCTTCATTGTTTTATAGCAAAAACTCATCCAAAAAAAATATGGGGTTGTCCAAATTGTATAAAAAGTTAAAAAAGTCATATCCCTAATATATATATATATATACTTACTAAAGCGTGTTTTGATAAGCGTTTGCTCACTTTTTCTGCTTACCTTAAACTATATCGTTTTTTTCGAAAAAGAAGAAGAAAAAAACAAAAAATGATGAATGAAACGATTGCTTCCCCATCCCAAACCCTCAGTCGATGTAGCAGCACTCCACTGCGAATCAGGCTATTTGTCAGTCGATGTATGTACTGAAGCCAGTATGACGTCAGATTGCTTACAATTCACGCAATACTATTTGTATATATATATATATATATATATATATATATATATATATATATATACACACATTTTAATTTAAAAAATTTAAGTTCATAATTTACACAAAAGTACTCCAATCTGTATAGAGTTTTGCGCTATAAATTGTTTATGTTAAAATTATTATTAAATTGTTATATTTAGAAATGCATTATATGGGATGGAGAAAAGTTTGAAAAAGTTGTTGAACTTTTTTGTCATACAGGTTATTATGTATATATATATATTTTGGTGTTAAAATTTTTTTTATTAGCTAGTAACATATTTTTTTGTAAGATTTTCAAATTTTTATATATCTGGTGTCAAATAAATGTCATACAGCTACATATAAAACTTTTTTTTTTCCAAACGCTATTGCTGTTTTGGTAAATAAGTAGGAATGAGAGGTTAGTTATAAAGCCTCAATTAAACTTAATTATAGGTCCAGTTGTTGATGCAGATTGGAAAGACGATTTTACGTTTGCAAGTTGTTCAACAGATAGAAGTGTTTGTGTTTCAACTATTCATGACAGTAAACCATTGAAGATTTTTTTAGGACATAAGGTTTAAATTTTTTTTATACTCAATCAGTATCATTAAATATTATGCATTATAATTTTATATTAAAAGTTTTATATTAATATGTATTAAATATTATTAAGCATTTAATATCAAATGATGAACTTTTTTTTTTAAATAAAAATTTTTTAAAAATAATTTTGCTTCCAATGAGGCTGCAATCAACTACTTTTTAAGTTGTGAGTCAACTGAAAGTAATGAAAAAAATATATAAGGTAAGAACAGATTGACAAACTTAAAAACTGTAAATTATTTTAAGCAAGAAAATGTGAAGACAGTAGAGAATTTCAAAGCATCGATGTTTGACAAAAACTGATCCTTCATAATCAAATTTTTTGAGCATGAAGGATGTAACTTTTTTAATATACTTAAGTTTTGCATTTGTAATTTTTATTAAAACTATTTTATTTTTTGATAAGTTTATATTGAATGATAAATCTTATGAGATTGTATTTTAGTTGATAGAACAAGAGATAATAGCTAGCTTGAGTAGTAACAATGGTAACATATGCAGAAATAAAAAAAGAACCTTATTATGATTTAAGCTCAACAGCTAGAACAGGACCATCTAGATTTGCTACATGTTTTTAGACCTTGTCCAACACACAAAATGCATGTCAACACACAAAATGGAATGTCAGGAAGAGTGATTAGATTCAAAAGGTGAATTAGAGAGAAAGTTCTTATGAATAGGAGGAGAAATTTTAAGAGTCAAAAACAGAAGAATGAAAAGTTAAGGATAAGTTAAGTTGTATGGAAAACGAGTCACAAAACCTTTGGTAATTGAGATTGAGAAAGACAAATAATTTGAGTTTAAGTTCCAGCTATTGGTTCTAGAACTAGGTTATTTATTTTGATTTAAAATCACCAATAGCAGCAATACTGGCAAATGAATAAAGAGAATTGTATTGATTAATTTGATTTACCCAATTTTAATTTGAATAAAGAAGATGATAATGAATAAGAGAAATGAAATAATGAAATGAATAAAGAGAATTGTATTAATTAATTTGATTTACCCACTTCACCCAATCATTTTCTGTTTAATACAACTTCACCCAATCATTTTCAAACAGAAAATGATTGGGTGAAGTTGTATTAAACAGAAAATGATTGGGTGAAGTTGTATTAAACAGAAAATGATTGGGTGAAGTTGTATTAAACAGAAAATGATTGGGTGAAGTTGTATTAAACAGAAAATGATTGGGTGAAGTTGTATTAAACAGAAAATGATTGGGTGAAGTTGTATTAAACAGAAAATGATTGGGTGAAGTTGTATTAAACAGAAAATGATTGGGTGAAGTTGTATTAAACAGAAAATGATTGGGTGAAGTTGTATTAAACAGAAAATGATTGGGTTAAGTTGTATTAAACAGAAAATGATTGGGTGAAGTTGTATTAAACAGAAAATGATTGGGTGAGTTGTATTAAAAAGAAAATGATTGGGTGAAGTTGTATTAAACAGAAAATGATTGGGTGAGTTGTATTAAAAAGAAAATGATTGGGTGAAGTTGTATTAAACAGAAAATGATTGGGTGAAGTTGTATTAAACAGAAAATGATTGGGTGAAGTTGTATTAAACAGAAAATGATTGGGTGAAGTTGTATTAAACAGAAAATGATTGGGTGAAGTTGTATTAAACAGAAAATGATTGGGTTAAGTTGTATTAAACAGAAAATGATTGGGTGAAGTTGTATTAAACAGAAAATGATTGGGTGAGTTGTATTAAAAAGAAAATGATTGGGTGAAGTTGTATTAAACAGAAAATGATTGGGTGAGTTGTATTAAAAAGAAAATGATTGGGTGAAGTTGTATTAAACAGAAAATGATTGGGTGAAGTTGTATTAAAAAATAAAAAGTAATGTGTAGAGTAAGAGTGAAGTGGTGTTGAAAAATCAAAAAGAAAGTGATTGGTTGAAGTGGCGTTAAAAATTCAAAGAAGAAAGATGACAAAAATAAAACAGTTAATTAAAACAGATAATGTACCCAAGCAATACTTATAATAATAATAAAATATTTTTTTTATAAACAAATTTTTTTTTTTGAACAAAGATATACAACAAATATATCACCAAACAAAAACTTATAAAACAAAAAATTGACTACAAAATAAAAAGTATGCATACAAGAATGGAAAAAAAAACATTAATGCTAATGTATAAACATAGTTTGTGTAGAAAAAGTAATTAAGTGAAGTGGTGTTAAAAAATCAAATAAAAAGTGATTGAGTGAAGTGGTGTTAAAAAATTAAAGAAATAGTAATTGAGTGAAGTGGTGTTAAAAAGTCAAAAAAGAAAGTGATTAATTGAAGTGGTGTAAAAAAATCAAAAAAAGAAAGTGATTAGTTGAAGTAGTGTAAAAAAATCAAAAAAATAATGATTAAAAAAAATCAAAAAAATAATGATTGAAAAAAATCAAAGAAAAAGTTAATGAGGAATTAAAACTACTGTTGTTATTTTAGGATGTGGTTAATTGTGTACAATGGGATCCTACATCATCATTATTAGCAACTTGTGCTGATGATAAATCTGTCAAGGTATTTATTTATTTTATGTTCTAAGAATAAGGGACAGAATTCAATGTTGAAAACTTTAATCATAAATAAAAGGCATTACAGGTCATATTGTATTTTATTAAAGTTACTGTAATATAGTATTATAATATAATATCTTATACTATATTATTATATCTTACGCTTTGTACTCTTTCCTAGATTTTTTTGTGATTTTAGTGATTTTAGTTTTTAATTCTTATTTTTATTTTAGTGATTTTAGTTTTTAATTCTTATTTACTTCTGAATTGTTTTGTTTTTTTTGTAAATTTATGTTTTAAGCTTTGGAGTATGAAACAAGATGATGCTGTTGCTAGTTTATCTGGTCATACAAAAGAAGTTACTCTTGTAAAATGGGCCTCCTCTAGGCTTTTAGGGAGGTAATAATTTAAATTTGTGATCAAATTGGAATCAAATCAACTCTAAAGTTTGTTTGATGAAAGTCTTAGTCAAAGTATAAATTAGAAATGATTGCTGCAGTGTATACAACCTAAACAGACACTATCTGTGTTAGTGTCTGTTATGTTGCATAACTATTTCAGGTGTTTTGTTAACTGTGTTAACAAAACACCTGAAATAGTTATGCAACCGATGATTGGCTAGACTGATTAAAATATTATTTTTTGTATAAAATTTCGTAAACTAAAATCAAAAGATTTTTATAACTTTACTTTGAATACAACAGCTTGGTTTCTAAGCAACAGCTTGGTTTCTAAGTTTTGCATTACATCGACTAAAAAATTTTTTTTCTTGAAACATTGATCTTGTTCTTTGGATTTTTGTATTTTGTCTATTTTTTATTTAATATAAATATAAATAAATATAAATAACTGACAGTTTTAAACGATTTTAGTTGTAAAATAAAGAGTTCTATTGGTCTAGAATTTTTTGCTTATTTTATAATTTTTTTTTAGTGCAAGTTATGATCAAAGTATTCGAATATGGAATGTAGAAAGTTTAACCTGTTTATATGAATTCAACAGACACTATGAACCAGTGAACTCAATTTCTTTTGATCCAACTGGGCGTTATCTAGTATCAGCTGCTTTAGATGGCCTTCTAAATATTTGGGAATTAGAGGTAATATTTCATAAGAGTAAGAGGTCAGAACCCCTGTTAAACTAATAGATATATCCTCAGAAATCGAATTGAAATAAGGTGGAATAAGTTAATGAAAAATTACCTCTTAACAAATTTTTGCCATTCTTTTGATAAAACAAAAGGATGTTAAAAAAAATTATATATAATGATAGAAAATTAAATGTAAAATGAATAGAAAAAAGTTTATAATGTTTATGATTCATTGTGTTAATTTTAATATTAATCCATCAATATGAAATCCTAATATTTGTTTTTTTAGAAAGGAGAATGCATTCAATTTCAGAATTCTAATATATTTTTTTTAGAAAGGAGAATGCATTTAATTTAAGAATCCTAATATATTTTTTTAGAAAGGAGAATGCATTCAATCTCAGCGGAGTAATAGCGGAATCTTCGAAGTACAATGGAGTAAAAATGCTTTCTACATTAGTGTTTGCCAGTCAGATAAAACGGTGAGTTTCGTAAGCTAGGTTTAATAATTCTCTAGATGGATGTGTAAATTTTATTTTTAATTTTTACAGATCAAAATATTAGATACTCGAAAACTACTATAACGATTTTGACAAGTCAAAGAATGATTCATCTTTTTCACCAACGTTACTATTTATTTAGCGGCATGATCAAAATTTTGAATAAAATTTTGTAACAATAACGACGCTAGAACTATGTTAGTATCGATACATCTAGAAGTATGTTAGCATCGATACATCTAGAAGTATGTTAGTATCGATATATCTAAAAGTATGTTAGAATCGGTTTTATATTGAGACTGAAAACGCGTATTGCCGTATAATGTAGAATGTGCAAGTATAATACTATCGTATACTAATATATCGCATGGATTCAACGTATATGTTAGAAGAAACCTTTTAGGATTTTTATTCTGTTTTTAATTCTATTTTTGTTCTGTTATAAATATTGCAAAATTTATTTATTATGAAGATTTTTGGTTTACGTGGATGCAAATCACGTTTTTATTGCATCTTATACAGAATATGATTTCTTAGTCAACATTTGTGAATGGCAATTGGCTGTAGCTTTTATATAGAGGAATATATTGTAATATGAAAACTAAAGTTTATGCTGCAATTTAAAGTTGACCACAACCCTAGCCTTGCTGTTTTTGTTTGTAATATAGTACAAAATAGTCGCATACTAGAATTAAACTTCATTTTCCAGTGAACAATAAGTTTTATAAAGTATAAATAAAAAAGTCAAAGTTGCCGTATGTAAAATGTAAAATTCGTAAATATTTTGCATAACCGCAAGATTTTACACAGTGATGCAAGTTAGAATATAAGTCCCTTGCAACTGCATCATAAAAACCGCTTGTCCATTTAACAATTAATATTTAGTAAATAATATAGTTTATGCTACTGTACGCACGGTAGATCCTGATTTTAAAGAAAAAATTTTGATATTAGTGATACGCAAATCATTTTTTTTTTTAATCGCGGTTAAGTATAAAGGTGATTGAGCTTTTTATCTCCGATGGAGAACAAAGAGTTTTCAAAGTGAAGCTATGTCTTAATCTATTATTTTGTGAGGTTAGAAGAATATTTACTTTATCAAGTTTAACTCCGGTTTCATTTTAATTTGTTAATGTTTATAACCAAAAGCTTGATAATCAAACTTTTGGTTCTTCCAACCAAACAGCCTGGCAATATGACATTTTGCTGAAATGTTAACACTAATTTGGTTAAAGGTACATCAACACATAACATTAACTTGTAACTAAACTTGTCAAAAGTGTTTTAGATAAGTTTAGCCGTTTGGTTTTTTAGCTTTTTTTGCTGACTTTAGTTTTCCTAATTCCAAGGGATGATATACATATACATACTATATATTTTGACCCGTAAAATTTCAGGCTTGGTAGGTCTTTCGTAACATACTAAAATAAATGAATAATAACGCATTAAATATTTCAATAGCTTTTAGATATAGAGCATAAGATAAAAACAGAACAATTTGAAATCTCTTTTAACTAATTTAAACTTTAAAGACTCGAACCGATCATCAACGTACCTTTTAAATATAACAGGAATTACCTTTAATCTTACATTAATTTTTAAGCGTTGAATTTTTATAAATAGCTTTTCAGAAGCTTGAGCAATTAGATTATGATTTAAAAGGTAAATATCTGACAGATGTTCAACTATTAGAATCATATCTAAAAGTACAGAGTTAGCAGTTTATCTTGTGATTACTAAAAAAACTATTAATTTTAAAAATCATTGCAATTTTTATTTACAGAATGATCTTTACAGAAATAGTCATTAACTTAATTATTATTTCAGGAAAATCTAAATTTTAAAGGAGTAAAAACGTCACAAAAAATCAATTTACTTGCATGTGTACTTGGCTGTTTTCTGCTGCTTTAATTGTTGTTACAACTGACTGGACTGTATATAAAATATTAAATGAAATTAATCACGCAAAACTCAATTAACAATAAAAAATATATTTGCGCGGATTTTAGAAAATTATGTATTATAGCTATATAAATTATTGTTCAAACCATGTTAACTTTTCTACAAAAGAGAAAATAAATGATACAATATAATAATCTATCATATCAGAGGTAATTAAATTTATTTTCTCTTTTGTGGTTATTATATAGGAGCATGAATAATACTTAAATATTTAAAAATATTTTTCAGTTTAAACTAAAAGCCTACACTAAAACTGAAGATCCATTATATAAATATTTGAATCTCACAATTTTTGATTGTCACTGATTGCACTAAAAGTATAAATATTATAACATTGCTATTCGATCAATCATCTATCATAAACAAATAGATGTTAGGTCTTAATATAAACAAACAATAATAGTTTTATTTAGTTATTTAAAGAGTAGTTACCACTTAAAATGCATAATTTTTCTCTATATTTTTTTAGTAAAAGTAGAAAAATTAGGAAGCTAAGAGTTAACAATAGACGTTCCATAGCGTTGTTAAAAACCAAACAGAAAAAACAATCTAAGAAATAGTTTAAAAAAATGCTGAAACTGATACTTTTTTGAAACTGCTATTTTAGTAGCAATAACTAAAAAAAAGAATTATCAAAATACATTGTTACTGTATTTAAAATAACTTTTAATCGCTTATACAATATTATCAAAGAACTTAAAGGACTTTTTAGCTGCTTCATTAGCCACAATATAATACTAAAAACAAATATCTTTTATCTTTTTTAAACCATTTATTACATAATTTAAGATTCAGAATAAATTCTAATTTTTAATCATAATGAAAGATTCAAAATGTCCGACACATTCTGTGTGAAAGATTGGAAAGTAAGATCTAGTGGAACTTGAGCTAAAAACAAAAAGAATTTAGATTTTCATTTGTTTATTACAATAATCAATAAAGCTTAAATATAAAAAGTTTAAAATTGATGAAGGAAAGCATCACCTATATCGAATATTAACATTGCTGCAGCTGAAGAAGAACTATAAACGTACCATAAACGAACGCGAAGTAGCTCAATACACTTTTTAAAAGAATTCACTGTAGCTGCATCAAATACTTTTCTAATTTAATTCAACGGTTAGCAACTCGGTTTATAAAAAAGTGCTGACGTTCTGGATAACCTTTAACTAATTTGGTCATTTTTTTAAAATATATATCTTGAATTTGATGAGTATGGCTGTAGTTGTAGAATATAAAACTTATTCAAGGTGGTCTTTCAAAAAAAAAAAAAAAAAAACAGCAACTTTTTTTATAACTAATCAAAAAAATTAAAAAGTATAGCTTTATTCCTTTACTTAAATCGAATCTTTTACTTTTTTAGGATTATGGAACATATTCTCGGTGCAAACTCAATCAGTTTAATAATTTTTTTTCTAAATTTAAAAATTAAATTAATTATATTTGATATATTAAAAATTATTAAATTGATTGAAGTTTTTTTTCAGGTGTCTCAATCCAGGTGATTTCAATAACTTTAATTAGCTCAACAGTGTTTTTGAAGGTCGTTTTTTGTTTTAGGAAATTTTAACTTGGTACCATAAATTTTCAATTGGATTAAGATTAAGTGATTAAGCTAAGATTAAGTGATTAAGCTACTTTATTATTTTAATTTGATTTGTTTTAACCATTGTTTAACAAGTTTAAAGGTTTTAGGTCGTTGTCTTGTTGAAATATCCATAGAAGAGGCATGATATTATCAGCAAAAATAACCATTTTTTTAATAAGAATATTAAAATAAACAAACTGATCCATAATGCCATTTATTCGATAGATAGGTCCAACTCCGCTAAAACCAGAAAATAACCCCAAACCATTGCACTTTTTTGCCACCATGCACCATTGGCTGTTCCTCTTGTTTATTTAGGATATAAACGTTTACTTTTAGGTCTACGTACCTTTAAATTGCCATCAGAACCTTTCAAATTGAACTTTGATTCATTGCTTCACAATACTCTTTTCCAAGTCTCTATGAGCATCTTCAAATTCAATTCTAGCTTTATAGTAATTAAGAGAAAGGTTTCTTTGCATCTCTGTAGCTCACAAGTCATGAAAGTTGTAATTGTCTGCCAACTGTAATTTGAGACACTGGAAGTTCCAGTGTCTCAAATTTCAATTTTTTGAATGATATTATTAGCGCTGTCAAAAGGATTCTTTTTGGCGCGACGATTAATTTTTTTGTCCGTGAAACGACATGTTTTGCGTGGTCTCCCGCCCTTATCTTCCGTTTTTAAAGGTTTAAATTTGTTAAACTGCTTGATTATTTGGCATACAATTGATTTATGAAAAGAGTACTTGGTGGCAATTACTTTTTGTTTGACTCCGCTTTTATAACCTTTTATAATACGTTTTCTAAAAGCTAAACTATACTTGATTCCTGCCATTATAAACCATAATGGCGCAAATTCTTGATTTAAAGCTAATATTGTAACGATTGCAATACTAAGTTATCCAAAACAAAGGCTTTGTAACGAAATACGTAAAAAATACTAAGTTATCCAAAACAAAGGTTTTGTAACGAAATACGTAAAAAATACTAAGTTATCCAAAACAAAGGTTTTGTAACGAAATACGTAAAAAATACTAAATTATCCAAAACAAAGGTTTTGTAATGAAATACGTAAAAAATATTAAGTTATCCAAAACAAGGAAATACGTAAAAAATACTAAGTTATCCAAAACAAAGGTTTTGTAACAAAATACGTAAAAAATACTATGTTATCCAAAACAAAGGTTTTGTTACGAAATACGTAAAAAAATATTATATTACATTTATTATTAACTTTTTACTTATAAAAAAAAATATTTTTTCAATGTTTAACACTATAAATTTTATTTTCCTTCATTTTCAGATACCACTGCTATTTCAATGACTGCTACCTTTTTTAATAATATTATTTTGTTTCTAAAATAAAATGTAAAACTGCTATTGATGTGATTTTTTTTATTCTATTAGATTGAAGTGTCAAAAAAATAAAATATTTTGAGTAATTTAAAGTTAAAAGTAAGCTTATTATCAAAGGTTTAAAAAGCTTTTTTGATAACTAACTACTGAAAAAAATTTTAATGGCCGCAAAGAGGTTAAATACACTTTTCTTGGAAATACCATTTAATAATCCAAGGCAAGACTTCTAAAGCACGTCATTTCTTTAACTCTTGTGGATGCATCATGTTCATATGACACATGATATCTTTGTCATCATATGTTATATGATGTCAAAGACGATTCACTTCAATTAAAATTTTCGATGGATTTAACTTATTGTAAGATTTTGACATAATATGTGCATATTATGCTTAATCTGGCGTTTGATGACTTCATTATTTTCTCCACTCAGGCATACTGTAGTTTTTTTAAAAAAAAAAGTTTTCTCAAGTTCTTGCATCTTTGATGAGTGGTTTACAATTTCTGCTTGTAGTTTATCTACAATTTTGTAACGTTCTAACTTAACTAACTTACGTTCTAACTTTTCTATTGTGATATTCTATTTATGGTGTTCTTCGGCTAAGAATATCACTAACGTTTTAATTTTTAATGCACATTGATTTAATGGAAGTACTTTTATTTGTAGAAACTTCTTTTGATTTAACTATGAAGTTCACACCTCCTTCCTTACCAATAGTGCAAAATATGCCAAAA